CTCGTTTCTAGAGGATCTGTTGTTAACAATACAGGCATACCTCGGAGATATTGTGAGTTCAGTCCCAGGGCATCACAATAAAGCAAGTCACATGAATTTTTTTGGTTTCCCAATGCATATATTTACACTATCCTGTAAGTGTGCAGTAGCATTATGCCTACAATGTACGTAGCTTAGTTAAAAAATACTCTACCGAGGGCTTCCCTGGTGGCGCAGTGGTTGAGAGTCCGCCTGCCGATGCAGGGGACGCAGGTTCGTGCCCCAGTCCGGGAAGATCCCACATGCCTCGGAGCGGCTGGGCCCGTGGGCCATGGCCGCTGGGCCTGCGCGTCTGGAGCCTGTGCTCCACAACGGGAGGGGCCGCGGCGGTGAGAGGCCCGCGTACCACACACAAAAAAAATACTCTACTGATAAAAAATGCTAACCATCACGTAAGCCTTCAACAAGTTGCAATCTTTTTGCTATAGTAACATCAGAGATCACTGATCACAGATCAACGTAACAAGTATGATAATAACGAAGTTTGAAATGTTTCAAGAATTACTCAAACTGTGACACAGACATGAAGTAAACTAGTGTTGTTGGAAAAATTGTATCCATAGACTTGCTGAAGCAGGGTTGCTATAAATTTGTAAAAAACGCAATATCTGCTAAGTGTAATAAAGGAGTGCAATAAAACGAGGTATACCTGTAGTACAACTTGTTCGGAACTAACGGGTGGCAGTCTGGGTTTGGGGTGGGTTAGCGGGGGATAAAAGGCTTGAGGCAACCATGTTTGGTGCACACCTTCACCAACCTGCTTTTTGCTGCAGCCAGACTGGACCAAGATGGCAAAGTCCCCGACTTCATGGGGCACTTCATGTAGCAGAACAGTCATTGTGGTCAGGATCCCCAGTCCCCGACCCCCTCGAAACGAAGCACCAATGGCCAGACCATCCGTGAAGTTGTGTGCCAGGTCAGCAGCCAGATTCAGGTACCCCGATACACGTAGGTCTTTTACAGGACAAAAGGAAGATTAAACGATTAGAGGTATTCATCACCCCTAGTCTCAGTCCTGATCAGCCTCCTAGAGACCACTTCACATCCAGCCTCAGTATTTTCCAGACACCTGTGATCACCCATAGTGCTGTTCCATGTGATTCATGATGATGCCCCTTGCCCAAGCGTATGCAACGCTGGCCCTCACCTGAACCTGCTTTTTCCTCTTCAGAGTTCTGAGGTTTCACTGGCCTGTCTTTGGGCCTTGTGCTCCCTCCTCTGCTTTTCCTCGACCCCCCTGCTTCCTTTTCTTCTTCCTCTGAGCTCTGTTTCTCCTTTGAAGGACGCCCTGAGGGAAGAAAGGAGTTGGTAAGAGTGGAGAACAGAGATTTGCCAATATGTCCTCATAAGGGTAGTCTTCTTCCACCTAAGAACCATAAAATGAGGAGATTCAGAGATGGCAAGGTGGCTTTCAGGAAAGTTGTTCCTGGGCTCACCCTGTCTTCCATGTGTGTGACCGTGAGCGTGTCCATGTCCGTGTCCATGTCCTCCTTTCACATGTCTCACAAATTTCTCCACCACGAGAAAGGCGACAATTCCACTGAGGACCCACAGTCCCACAGACAGAATGGGGCCCTGTCCTAGGAATGGATACATTGAGACATTAAGGGAGATTTTGATTTCAGACTCTTCCTCCCCAAGCACAAGAGAAGAATAGGGAGGCACAGACCTTCCCCTGCACCCCAACCCCACGTCTTCACCTGCCCCTTCCTCACCACTGTGGGAATGTCCATGTCCAGGCTGCTCCAGAGGGTGGTGAGAATGAGGTTCTGGAGGAAGGGAGAGACAAAGCCAGATGAGGAAATACCCCAACCAAGGGGTGTATATTTGGGAGAATATTGGAAGGTCAGGGATCACAAAGGGGAAAGAACCCTCTTGTCCAAAGCATGAAATACATTAAGATTTAAGGTAGAAGCTAGAGATCACTTACCCAGAGCATGAGGGATGAGGTGCAGGAAGGCATCTCCCAAGAGCCCACCCGAAGCAAAACTCAGCAAGATCTGGAGCAGAGAGCGGTGCCGAGGGGAGTTTGACTCCACGGGGATAAGGAAGAGGACGAAAAATGGAGCTGCAGAGATCAGCACTGTGGCCCCCAGTGCCTGGCGAGGGAGAGTCAGGGGTCAAGTGGTGTGGGGTTTCCCAACAATCCCGAACCAGTCCCCCTCTGCCCCATCCCCGGGGGACTCACATAGGCCCAGAGAGTGACAGTGTCCAGGTTCTGTTTGATGCCTGGAGCCCCAGACTCCTCATAGATTGCATGGCTGTGCTCATGATCATGTCCATGTCCTCGGTGGTAGACGCTCTCATGAGAGTGGCCATGACTATGGCCATGGTGCAAATCCTCATGCGAATGTCCATGGTCGTGACCGTGGGTATGCCCATGCCAGATGCTCTCATGAGTGTGGCCAGGGGCATGGCTGTGTCCATGGTGGAAATCCTCATGTGAGTGCCTGTGGCTGTGGCCCTGGAAGTCCTCGTGCAGGTCTTCGTACAGGTCGCCATGACCCCCGTGTCCGGCCACTAGCAGCCCCAAGGCCGCCCAGGTCAGCAGTCCCACGGCCACCCAGTGGGGGGCCCCCAGGCCTCTGGCCATCACGCTGACCAGAGGGACAGAGATAGTGACTCCACTTGACCCTCAACTCTATATCTATGCGGGGTCCGCTCTACTCCGCTCGCGCCCTCCGTCCACTTCTATGGGCTGCTTCCCCATTCCATCCTGTCCCCACCCACATTGTTCCCAAGACTCGTTTTCTTTATCCGGAACCCCATCCCTGATGCAGGACCCCCAGGACACCGCTCTAGGCTTTGATCCTCCACTATATGGACTCTCTGCGCCCTCGTCTCTATGACCCACTAAATGAAGAAAAAGGCCTGAAAAGGACGGTAGGGAAAAACAGGGAATTCTCACCGGCTCCGGGATCCTCTCCTTTCCCGGTTTGCTCGGACGTGGCAGTCCCGCCTCTAGCTCCCGCGAGAACAGGGAGTTCCGTTCTACCTTGGTCCCAGTACCTTTACCAATATGGCGGCACTCCGGTAGTGGTGAAGCCGTCTAGCCCTGGCGCGCATGCGCGGGTGTGGAGGTTATTTGAGGGGACGCTGGGCTAGGCGGGTTAACAGGCGGGAGGAGACCGCCTCCTCCGTTTCCAACCAGACGAGGAGGCGGGAACTAGCGCGGAGACTTCCCGTCTATACCAAGATGGCTGCCACATCGGCGCTGTCATTTTGCTACAGAGCAGAGCGAAGCGCTTAATTCGACCCGGTTAAGGCCAGAGACTTTTTCTCTGGGGCTTCCTCGTGCTCAGCTAGTCCAACGATCAATCCTTGGGAATCCCTGGTACCTCTTCGGTATTCCTACACTCAGCCAGGAACCATGTCTTGGGCTGCTCGCCCGCCCTTCCTCCCCCAGCGGCATGCCGCAGGGCAGTGTGGGCCGGTGGGGGTGCGAAAAGAAATGCATTGTGGGGTCGCGTCCCGGTGGCGGCGGCGACGGCCCTGGCTGGATCCCGCAGCAGCAGCGGCGGCGGCGGCGGCGGTGGCAGCCGGAGAACAACAAACCCCGGAGCCGGAGCCGGGGGAGGCTGGACGGGACGGGATGGGCGACAGCGGGCGGGGTGAGTGACCTAGCGGACGGACCGGCAAGCCAGTGACCGCGTTATCAGCAACCCCTTCCCCCCCCTCCCCTGGTGTTCTTTCCCAGGCGCTCCCGCCCCCTTGTTTGTAAACACGCGTCCCCTCCCTCCCGAGGGCCTTAGTGCCCTCCCCCCGGGGCGGGGCGGGGAGGGGGAGCTTCCGCTCTTCTAGCGGTGGCCGCTCGAGGCCCTGCACTACGGAGGTCCAAGGCGTGGGGCACTAGTCCTCGAGATTGAGGACTCTGGACGTTTGAAGGCAAATTCTGTGTCCTAGGAGGGGTCTCTTCTGCCTATCTCTTTTCCCTGCACGTTCTGGCTACGAGCTGGGAGTGGAGGGGCTGACTGATCCACCCCACGTGCTGCCCCACCCACACGAGATGCGTCTGGCTTGGGGTGACCCAATGCATTGTTTGGAATTTGCCTCACCCGAACGATCCTCCTCTGTTAGCCCCCTTCTCTCACCACGATTAGGAGTTAAGCCGTTGTTTGACAGCAGGGTGCCTCTGGACTTGGGAAGGGGTGGGGTGAGGTGGGGGCGCGGTGGGGGGATCAGAGAGAGAATTAAAGGCTCCGGTTGGATGATCGAAGACTCATTTTCTCTTTTTGTCTCTTCTGTCTGTGTGTGTCTGTGCCTGTGTGTACCCCTCACCAGACTCCCGAAGCCCAGACAGTTCCTCTCCAAATCCCCTTCCCCAGGGGGCCGCTCCCCCTTCTCCTCCGGGGCCACCCTTACCCCCTTCAGCAGCTGCATCCCTTGGAGGCTCTGGGGCTCCACCCCCACCCCCGATGCCACCCCCGCCACTGGGCTCCCCCTTCCCGGTCATCAGCTCTTCCATGGGGTCCCCTGGTCTGCCCCCTCCAGCTCCCCCAGGATTCTCCGGGCCTGTCAGCAGTCCCCAGGTGAGAGGTTGTGACCCACTTACTGCCTCTCCATTTTCATTTCCTTGTTTTCCTGGTGACCTAGATCCTTGTATGAACTTCCCCATGGCCCACTGACCTTCCAGGCCTGTGGTCCTTGTGTGACCCCTGGCATTTCTTGAGGTGACTGAGCTTTCAGTGCACGCCTCCTCCCCAACCCTGTAAAAGAACCCAGCTATTCTTGATGTCCCTTTCATATATCAGTGATTTTTTGCCCTTTTGGTTCCATCTACCCTTCTGAAATACAAGCCCTTCAGGGCCACTGTGTTGCACAATTTCAGGGGGACCTTTATGTCTCATCTCTTCGGGGTTGTACTCCAGGGGTGGCCCTTCCCGGGCACTGCAGTGTAAATAATGTCCTTTGTAACGTGCAATGCAGGGCCCTGCCTAGGTGGTAGGGAATGATGTCCCTCCCCTCTGAGAGATTATCCTTCCCAATGAGTCTCCCTGTGACTTCCCTATTTCCCCCAACCCAGATTAACTCAACAGTGTCGCTCCCTGGGGGTGGGTCTGGCCCCCCTGAAGATGTGAAGCCACCAGTCTTAGGGGTCCGGGGCCTGCACTGTCCACCCCCTCCAGGTGGCCCTGGGGCTGGCAAACGGCTATGTGCAATCTGCGGGGACCGAAGCTCAGGTATGGGGCTCAGAGGACCAGCAGAGAGGAAGAGAGCGTGTACCATTTACCATCACCTGTGGGATTCCCAGGGGCTCTTGAGGTTTGGTTAGAGCAAGTGAGCTGGGGGAGGTCTGATGAGAGTTAAGGACCCTGCAGCTCAGATTTGGTGGGGGGGGGTGGTCAGAGGGAAGAGGGGGCTGGCATAGGGTTTTCGAACTGTGAGAAGAGTGGGACTGGATCATGCCTCATGTCCTGGTTCCCCATCTCTCTCTTTGGCAAACACAGAGCAGACTTCAACTAAATTTGCTGGGGGGAGGTGGGCAAGAGTCCTAGTGGCACAGGGTCTACGTGCAGTCTTACTGCTCTTCCTGTCCCCTCGCAGGCAAACACTACGGGGTTTACAGCTGTGAGGGCTGCAAAGGCTTCTTCAAGCGCACCATCCGTAAGGACCTGACCTACTCGTGCCGGGACAACAAGGACTGCACGGTGGACAAGCGCCAGCGGAACCGCTGTCAGTACTGCCGCTATCAGAAGTGCCTGGCCACCGGCATGAAGAGGGAAGGTAAGAGCCTGCCCTACCCAGGCCTCCCAGTCTACCCTGTGGGAGGAGAGGGAGGAGGGGGAGGGAAGACTGCAGGGACTATACCTCTTAGGAAGGCTGGACTCCTCTCTCTCCTCCAGAGGGCGATATTTGATTCCGTCTCCCCTGCTCATCAGCCCTCCTCTCTGGTACCTTGACCTGGTGCCTTGAGTTTCCTTCTTAATGGTTCTGCTTCTGTGGCCTCTGCCCCTCTGACCCCTCCCTGGTCTGGTGCTAGGGTAGGATAAGTTTTCCTTCCCCATGATGGGTTTCTCTAGCTCCCCTTCTCTAACCTGAGTAATTCTTCCTCATTTTGACCAAGTGCTTCCACTCTGGTCTCCATCTCCCTATTATCTGTGTTCTCTCTTCCAAACTCTGGGATTCTACCCTCTTAAGCTGCAGCCTTTACTGAAGACCTCAGGGCTTCTTCTTCTTCTTCTTTTTTTTTTAATCTCTATCTTTTCTTCTTAAGCTTGATTCTGGAATTCTGAGAGAGATACTTTAGGGAGTATATGTTGGTCACATCCCTCATTTTAGAGAAGATGAGCCTGAAGCCTGGCTTTCCCAAGGTCATGCAACAAAAGAGTGGCAGGTCTTGGATCAGAAGCCACCCCTCTGAAGACCCAGGCCAGTGCTCCTTTTCCTGCTTTTTTGTTGAGTCAGAAGAGCACCAGATTTGCCATCAGGCACGCTTAGATTTGGACATACGACTTGCTATGTATTGTGTGAACTTGGGCAAGCTGTTTAATGAACTGCCCCCAAATCGTTATTTTTAAAAATGGGGTCAAGAGCTCACAGGGTCGTTATGATACTTGAGTGAACGTGAAAGTGTGCTTGGCACGTTTCCTAGTATGTAGTAGGCTCTCAGTTTAAATACTAGCTTTCTCCGTAATTCCTTTACCCACCCTTTTACTTCTTCTGGGTTTATTTATCTGTTCTTTTATAAGTCTTGCTTCTGGACTGCCACAAATCTGCCATGGTTTCCAGTGACTTCCCCAATTTCTATAAATATCTCCTAAGGGCCATGAGACCCTGATAAGACCCTAAGGACATTTTGGAATCTCCTCATGGCTGGCTGCTGACTTTCTACTTTTTTCTCCTTTCTCCTTCTCCTTCAGCGGTTCAGGAGGAGCGTCAGCGGGGGAAGGACAAGGATGGGGATGGGGAGGGGGCTGGGGGAGCCCCCGAGGAGATGCCCGTGGACAGGATCCTGGAGGCAGAGCTTGCTGTGGAGCAGAAGAGTGACCAGGGCGTTGAGGGTCCTGGGGGAACGGCGGGTAGCGGCAGCAGCGTGAGTGCTGGGGTCAATCTACACTTCTTCCTGATGGGGGTGGGGAGGCGGGAGTCTAGGTCTGTTCTACCTCCCCCTCCCCTCCCTTCCCCTCACAACCCATCTAACACTGCCGGGGACGGAAGTGCCGCCAAACAAGGTCTCTTAGACATCTGAGGTAGGCGTGATAGCATCCTCCGTCCCCACTCCCAAAACAATCCACTCACAGAACCACAGGCAAGTCCCAAATTAATAACTTTTCCTGAATGCTAGAAGAGGAGGAATTGGTTCAGATGGGGCTTGAAGAGAGACTACAAATAAGGAGGGGGTGTCAAAAGCCTCTTATGGGGTTGGGGGGGCTCCCAGTGTACTTCCAAATCTTCTATAACTCTCACCCCTCCTCCCCTGCAGCCAAACGATCCTGTGACTAACATCTGCCAGGCAGCTGACAAACAGCTCTTCACACTTGTTGAGTGGGCAAAGAGGATCCCACACTTTTCCTCCTTGCCTCTGGATGACCAGGTCATACTGCTACGGGCAGGTCAGTGACCTTGGACTCCTTGAATCTCTTGTCATTTGACCCCTCTTGGACCTCCTGACCTTCAGGGACCCCAGCGGCCTTACCTTGCATACTCAGAGAGCCAGTCTCATTGACCTCGCCACCCCTTCTTCTCTTCCCCTGATGTGCTTTCAATCCCATGGCCTGATCCCTGGCGCGTCACCCTTGCCGCCCCCCACCCCCAGGCTGGAATGAGCTCCTCATTGCCTCCTTCTCTCACCGATCCATCGATGTCCGAGACGGCATCCTCCTCGCCACAGGTCTTCACGTGCACCGCAACTCAGCCCATTCCGCAGGCGTGGGAGCCATCTTTGATCGGTCAGTGGCCCTCGGCTGGGCTGGCCTGTCGGTCGAGGGGGTGGGGCTATAGGCTGGTCCGTGTCCAAGGCTGGCTGAGCTGTGACCTTTGAGTGACCTGCAGGTCCCTCTCCAGGGTGCTGACAGAGCT